TGCTTACTAATATTTTTAACAGCCGTGTCACGTTATGACACAACAGCAGCATTGACACTCTGGGGTGAGAACTGGTTAAGAATCAAAGGTTCGTCTTACTTAGACAAAGCAATATATTCTGGTTTAGACATTGGGGAAAAACACTGTTTAGGGTTCATCATCTTATAGATTATTTCAGTATCAAACTGTAGTACAAAGCTTGTGATGAAACGGATTGTATCTGTCCTTCTCTTTCTGTGTTCTTTTAAAAGTGTGATGGTGTTACTCTGGACCTTAGCAGTATTTCCTTGGAAGGCATTGCCATTCTCAACATTCCCAGCATGCATGGTGGCTCCAACCTTTGGGGTGAAAGCAAGAAGAGGAGGGGCTACCGCAAGGGAGGAAAGAAGGGTCAAGACAAAAGGACACCTGTGCTCGACCCCAAAGAACTCATGTTTGCGGTTCAAGGTAGCTCTGACACCCGAGTTTTACGGTTGTTTACATAAATGCTGAAATCATTGTGGTTAGAAAGCTTAATTACATTACAAATCTAAACTCACAGAGAAAATGTGCTATTGCTAAATAAAATGCTCCAATAACCTGTGTTATACTTGGCTATGTGGCTACAAAGCCACATTTAGCAACATAGCTTGAAGGAGCATGTTGTAGCCTATTGATTTTTTGGTAAGTGGCCACTTTGGTGTAGTATATATTCCGGCTCTAAAGTTCAGGCTCTAGCTGCTGGGCTGGGGTCTGCATACACTCAGCTTTAGCATCACTCTGGGGGTTTTCATAATCTTTGTGTTAGCATGTTTTCTGTGCACATGCTCCCAGAGTGCCAACATAGTGTTAACAGAATAATGTGGCTGTGTCTGTCTGTGAAGCATTTCGTATTTGCATTCGTCCTTTCATTCAGTCAAAATAAAAGTAAGGTTCAGATCCCTATTCCTCAAAGCTGTAGACCACTCCAGCATTTTCCTCCTCCTGCACACAAACTTAAATCAGCTGACAGTTTTGGAGGGTTTTTGTTGTCAACCTTGTGTCCAGATATATGAAGAAGATGTATGAAGTAACACGAGTAACAAAATAACTGACTGAAAAATGTAATGTGATTACTATAACACACTATTTGGGAGTGGTTACGCCCACTATTTTTTCAATAGCTGAACATTTCTGGCTAAATCTGTCGGCATGTTGTAACGTAATTGGTGAGTCATCAACAGCAGTCAAACCTCTGCATGCTACATACCATGGTTGGTTTGCTCTGTTAAACAATAATAGTGCAAGTTAAACAGCTTTGACAGTGTAGGAGGTTCTTCTCCCTGAAGCCCACATCAGACACTAACAGTCTGTGTCCTTGCTCCTATCAGACAGATCAAAGACTAAACTTTGGGCCAAACTTTTCCTGAGCACATTAATATTTCACTGATGACAAGGTGAATCACAGCCAGCAGGTTTTGTTTGCAAAGAAGAGGTACAATCATGTCACAGTTTGGAACTGTCACTTGTGTATTAATGGTCTGTGTGGGCACCAGTGGACAGGCTCTGTTAATAGGAGCTGACTGAGTGGGGTGTTGGGCATACCCCTGAATCCATTTACGTCAAAAGGAAGCCCATCAATGGGAATATATGAATGAACGAAACACAATGAGTCAGCTGCTCTGTGGAAACTGGTGAAATTGTGTGAGCCGCTTTAGGGAGTTAATAGCAAAGGGTAGAAAATATCCAGAAAGCAGAATGTTCTAGTACTGCAGTGAAAAATTACAGACAATATAATTTTTCCTTCAAATACATAGTAAGAACTAATATATGTGTGTGTGTGTGTGTGTGTGTGTGTGTGTGTGTGTGTGTGTGTGTGTGTGTGTGGCTTAATATATCATCACTGCACAAGTGTTTTCAGTTTTTGTAGTCCTGTTGAAAGGGAATACAATTTAGTTTTACTTTTTGTTAAGCTTTCATATCAATATGCCCCAATTTTATCCATGTTTACAACATAGCTTGAATGACAGCTAATCTGTTCTTTATTGAAATAATTTTATTACTAATCATTGCTGTTGAGTCTTTCTAAATTCTTTTGTAGACTCACAGCCGTGAATTCTGGATTTACTTGGCTTTTGTATTTTATTTCTATCATGTCTAACTGTGCCTGTTCAGGTGATGCACAGTATGTTTTTTAGGTTTCCTGCTGAGATGGTGTGTTTGTACCTGGGGATGAAGTGGATGTTACAATCAGTGTCTGGCTTTGAGACATGACGAGCCAGCAAAGATCTCCAGACATGGCTGCCAGTGATCCCTTATGAGACTTCACTGGCCATAGCACAATTTCTGGAAAATAAAAAGCCCTCTGTGAAGCACACTATGGAGCATTCATTCTTTTTAGTTGTGATTCAATTTTCTGTTTCCTTTGGTGCTGTTTTGCCTTTAAAGATGGTTAAAGGTGGCACATTTTAAATTGGACTCTTTTTCACAGTCACAGCATTTATTGTGCAAAATGAATCTGTTTTATGTTGTTTAAAAAACTGAGAAAACAAGTGAGAGACAGTGAGGAAGTAGACAAGGAAACACAACTCAGTCCTACAATAAATAACCCATAAAAAAGTCATTCTCCAGTACATTAACATCACCTTTTTGATGCTTCGAGCTGAGCATTTCCGTCAGTAGGCTTGCCCTGTAACATACTCTGCTGTGTCATCTTGGATATCAAACATGACCATCATTTAGAAAAGAAATGCAGTGTTGTATTTAATAAGACTTCTAATTTGCAACCAGGACCATAAGATTATCATGGACATGTTCACCGATGGCAGTTTTCTCACTGACTTCCATACAACCAGACTTCTTTTTTTGGACGACCCCCTGCTGACAGTTAGAAAAATCGAGGTTTAAGGATTTCAGTAGACTTCAGGTTAAACCAATGCAAAATCATAATAAAAAGGAACCATGTGGCACATGTGCACTGTGAGGGACACATTTGATCAATGCAAAGCCCAGCTTTGCTATGATGAACACTCCATTTATCCCTGAAAAAAAATCAATCACTTCTGTGTTTGTATTTTTAAAAAAATAGAGGCCACAGTCTAAACCTGGAAAGGCACTTAGTGTGAGTGGGGAGTATTTCCCTTTGTTTATGTGTGTCCATACCCATTTGAGCCTGTGTATTGATGCGGGTGGGTGTGTTTGTGTTGTCCACCTGTACTGTATATCTTAGAATAGATGCCCTTGTGGAAGGTGCCCTCAAGGTGAGCAGCCAAACTTGTTAGATCAAGAGAACAGCGTATTTAGAGGTAAACACACAGGAGTGCATTAGCCCAGAGGGGCAGAGGGTGACGCACAGGACTGTTGGCAGAGATCATTTTTTGTCAAGTTGTATGTGTAGTTGCATCTGTGTGTGGATGGGTGGGCTGGTGGGTGGCTAGGGGATGAAAAAAAAAACCCTGACCTTTCGGGAGCTGTTAAATCGTCCCGCTGGTGACGCCAGGAGACAAGCCCCTCAGGTGGAAGGGAATGGCTGCAGAGTGAATTATTTAGAATAGGGGCTTCATGTGTGGGTGGAGGGGTTGATGCTTGGGACTGATCCCCCGTGACAAGCCCCATGAAGCTTTCATTGGAGGATCGGCCTCCACATGCCCTCCCTCCTTGTTCCGCCATTCCTCTTTAGTTTTACTTTCAGCAGATCGGCTGCTGGTCCTGCTCTGCTCCGTCACTGTCTGTCTTTTATTCCTCTGCTCTCACCCTGTCGCTCCACATGTGTCAGTGCAGCCACTGGCCTGGACAGGTAGTTGTGTGACAGTGACAAGGACGTTGTTTCTATTCTCTCTCTCTGATGGGAAGATGTGGCTAAGATTAAAGTCGCAGTGTGCTGCTTTTTCATGTCCCATACGGACACTGGTTCATATCATTGTTTCATTCACTATCACTTGTAGTGTTTATCAATTTGAAATCCTGATTTCTTGACCTACGTAAGGGACATTGATTCGAGATTAGATAAATAAGATGATTTGGTTTATATTTGGCCATAGACTGCTTATCATGACTTTTTATAAATTGGCCTTTCTAATCGACTAGGTGATTCAGTTTTTCTCCCAGTTTATCTCTGAGAACATGTTGGTTTTTTACTATATTTAGGCGAGTGTGCTTTGTATTGTAGATCCAGGTGAATCATTTGAACTTCCCGTAAATGGAATAATTGATGGTGATTCAAGAAAAAAAAAAAAGGAAATTCACAAAAAAAAACACTCGAGATAAAATATGATTTCAGTCCATTAAGACCTTTATTGAAGTCGTGTGTCCTCATTTCTTAGAAAGAGATGAAAATATGTCTAATTTTAAGTTTTGCCTGAAGGCCATTTCTCCTCCAAGACTAGTGCTTTTGTACTATTTTGCCATATTTCATGACATTTCATGGAGAGGTGGAACATGGACAGATTAGAAAAGATTCTGATCAGAATCAATTTCCTTACAATTCTGAGACAGAGGATAGCTTCTGTAATTTTTTTATCATTTTGAAAACTATTTTTTTCAACTCTTAATTTGAAAGAACAATTTTTACATGAAGGTTCATTTCAGGCTTTTGTAAAAATGAGACCGAATGCTCCTATCAGGAAATACAATACAATTTAATTTGTAAGGGTACGGGTTTGTTGAGTTTTAAACAGTTTCATTATTCTGTTTAGTTGTGCCAATGGACATATTTTAATTTCTTTGGACTGTAGATCCAGGCAAGGTATCAGCATCAATGCAAATAAGTGTACACTGCAAGGCACTGAAGTGTAAGAAAGTCGGTAAACTCATTTTCAGAAAAGAAAAGAAACTTAAGTTACAGTATGTCAAGTTGTATATTGCAGGTGAACAATATACAACTTGATACATAACTAACATTAATGATTTGTCACAACCTTAATATACTGCATCAGCATCTTTACTTTTAAATTAAATATACTTGATATACTCTGGTGTAGCTGACTTTAGAGTAAATAAACTTAGAAAAAGTAATTTTGGAAACTTATTTGGACCTTTAAATAAAAGTACTTATATGGGAGACAGATGTTGTACAACATCAGAAATGTAGCTCAGCTCTAACCACACTACTCTTCTAGAGTACCGTGCAAAAGATTTGAGCCACATCGCATTTCTTTACATTTTACTAGGACACGCCCTCGGCTGTGTTTTACAGATGGCTGTAGACATTCACTATTGTACCTCTCATCTTACCTCCTCCATACATTTGGATTCATCTCATTTCTAATGGGGAGTCAGTGAAGAGCAGATAGATTAACTGAAGGCCTATATCAGGTCTTTATTGGCTTTCAGATGCTGTTCACCTGTAGATAGTTGGAGTGCTACTTCTCCTTTTGTCCTCTATTTTACACACAAGAAGGCCTGAAAGCTCTAAAAACAAAACAAATTATAAAGAAATGAGTGATATACAGGACTGTATGTCACTGCAGCAACACGATTTACAACAAGAATTCACAAAATAATAGGCTCGTTTTTTTCATCAGGGTTGGTCTTTAATTCTTTGAGACATCGTAAAAGTTGTAACTAAAAGCAAATTTGTGTCTGTGAGTGTGTTTTAGTGTGTGTGTTGGCTGCACAGGGTCCTCCTGCCCTTCTTAAACCAGCACAGCTACAGCCTTTGCATTCTTTCCCAAGCTAAGAGCTCTAGAGTATAATAGATCTTTGTAGCTCGGGGCAAACAGGAATCCCTATCGCTTTGGTGATGCTGTCCATCATATATGTCACCATGGGCCTGCATGAGCCGTTCACATCAACGTGAGAAGTCACGTGACGGGGGGAGCAACTTTAAAGCTCAGTGTCAGGGAGGTCAACCTGCTTTGGATTGTATGTGTACACACTCTTCCACTCCGACCCTGGAAAGTGCTGCACTCAAAGTCCAGCGTTGAGATAGGGGCAGACGCATGTCCATCACCATGGTGACAGCTGGACACCACAGCTCGGCGGCGGCAACAACATCTCACCGCAACAGCAACATTGCCCACGACACTCCTTCAGGAAACCAACACGACTCACGTACACACGGCATTGCGGGGCTAACACGCTCACACACACCGAGTGCCTAAAAATGGGTCTTAGTTTCAATTAGTGTCTGTATACTACCAACAGCGAGGCAGCAGCTTCTTAATTTGTGGAGGGATGAGTTGATGGAGAGTCGGAGGCAGAGCGGGCCTCCGAAACAGATGGGCCCTGCGTGACACTGGGCTTCCAGCAGGGGCAAAATCAATGCTCATAACTGAAAAACAGAAGAGAAATTAATAATTATATTATCACAAGATTGCTTTGCATTGCCGGTGCAATCTAATTAATAGCTGTTTTGTTTGTAGCTTGTTGCCTTTTTTCTATCTTTTTTTTTAAACAGTGAATATTAAATATTTCAGCAACAGAAGGCAAACTCTGAAGTGAGGAACATCACATGTCATGTTCTTTTATTCTTCCTCACCTCCTTCTCACTTTCCTCTTCCCCTCCTCGCTTTTGTACTTTGTTTCATGTGTCTTCTCACTCCTAGTACGAGTTTTTTGCATTGTTTACCTCTCATGTGAATGGTAGCTACATTCAAAAGCAGCAGTGATACTATAACATAATGAGGACAAAACTTGGCTGGACTTTGCATGGTTAAAAAAGTGTTTTTTCTTTGCTTTGTTGCTTTTGTTTGCTTTTGTCTCAGACCTGTCTGACCAGCTCTTGGAGGTTGTGGGACTCGAAGGTGCCATGGAGATGGGTCAGATCTACACTGGCCTGAAGAGCGCTGGACGACGCTTGGCACAGTGCTCCTCTGTGACTATCAGGTCAGTCTTTAACAATGTTTTGTGCCTGTTTCTTCCAATTATTATATTGTTTTTAGTTTATTATGGTAGCAAATGCTATGGCATATAAGAAAAAGCATAAAAATGCTACGAGTATAAATTAAGGTGATGATTTTTAAGCATCCTGGTGCAGAATGCTTTTATTTGGTTTTATTGTGAAGATTTGTTACAGCATGTTTTCTCGTTCTTCACTTACAGAACCAGTAAATCCCTTCCAATGCAGATTGATGGTGAACCTTGGATGCAGACTCCGTGCACTGTAAGTTGAACTGCATTTCCACAAATGGTTCATCCAAACTAAAGACAGTTATATGCCAATATAAAGTAAATTGTAAGGGCAGTGAAAGAAGAATCGAGCAAAGTATTTTGTAATCTCCATTTACAAAAAAAAGATTTGCAAATGAAAAAATATTAATACGTTTTACATATGGAATCTGCAGTCTGACAGTCATATTGATGCTTGAGAATTTTTCCAACATGTGGCAATGAGCATCCATGACTCATTCTGTAAATTCAAGTTTTCAAAAAGTTCTTTGTTTGTTTTTTATTCTGAGCTTAAAGAGTAACATCAGACTGTTTGAGGAACCTCTGAGGAAACACATAGTTACTGTTGTGTGGGAGATCTTGAGTTCTACTATGAAAATGCCCCCACACGGGCATCATGAAGATAAAAAACAAAAGTGAAAAGTTAAATGCTTGTTAGGTGAAAGACAATGATTTTGAAACCACATCAGCTATCTAACTGTATGCTAACAAAGCCTGCTCTATTGCAACTGCATTATAAAACCAAAACAGAAAACGTATCCCTTGTCTATGCATCTGCATATTCATAAGAAGGTATTGGTTTATAGACATTATGGTCTAAGATGTTAAGATGTCCAGGAGTCATTAATGCGACCCACCTTAGTGACTGATTAAATCTTCTTTCAATGACTTCTCCCATATGGAAAAGAAATAGTAAAAACTTATATGATTTACTCCTGAAAGTGGCCACTTTCTCATTACTTTCATATATTGTTTTAGTAAGTATCCAAAACATACAAGTTTCATTATAGAATTTTTCAAGGGATCTTATATCTGTTTTCACTCTTGTATGCTTTTCATACAAGTTTCACACAAGACAGATACAAACTTTAAAAGATTTATATATATCTTATATATAGCTTTCTGACAAACAAACCAAAAGCTGATACATGTTTAAAAAAATATCAAATATATATGCTTTAATATTAAGATTAATATAACAGTTCAGCTGTTGCTGCTTTATATTCTAGTGCATTAATTTATGATAACAAATTCTTAATGATTCAAGTCTTATTTCTTCTAATTTGCTCATCGTCTAGATCGCAAACGTGTACCTCGATAAGTGTTTTCTCTCTGTCCAAGTTGCTCGTTTTTCAAAAGGAAACTCCTGAGTTTGCGTTGATTACGGTTGTGTTTAGCTTTAATTAGAACACCACTGCAGATGAAGTGCTGCCGAGATTTACATATGGATCGCCCAGCCATGACAAAACAAGTGGCCTGCAAGTGCTCTTGTATCTGCTGGCACAACTACACAGAGCAAAGTTGGGCTCTGACGATACATAATTGTGCTGCAATGATTTCCAAGGAAAGTTTTTCATTCCGTATGTCTGAACTGCATCTGAATCACTTAACGCGTTAAATGCCTACAAAAACGTCACACTTCAAATTGGATGTTGTTCCACTAATTATTAACAACAGCAGCTATGCAAATGCATATCAGTCTCTGCATGCATACCATGTTTAACACCATAACCATTTAAGATTTTAAGCTAAATGCAGCATGTGTCACTCTGATGAGTAGATCTAAAATAACTGGCACCATATTTCCAAATTTGATTCTGGTACAATGCACCTTCATTAGGGTCTAAGTAAAATCCCCCCTCGGTTTTCTTAATTTGGATGATTAATTGTGACCTGGTAGCACATTACATCCATGCTTCATTTGAGCAAATTATTTTATTTTCTGTCTAAAAGCCATATTGTTCCATGGGCCCTTGAACCACATAAATACTTAATCCTGCATTTTAAAGAAACAGAGCTTGATTACCATCCAAATTTATTTCAGGTATCACTTTAGATCTTTTTTTCTTTTTTGGCCACTGTCTTGTCTGTAAAGACTATCATGTTTATGGCAAAGTACTTGATAAACATTAACTTCAATCATGTTTAAGGATGGCAGAAAGCCCACAAAAGCTAAGTAATTGCTCCAGCGTCAGAGTGCAAGCACAATAAATGGCATCTTTCCTTTGAAGTGAATGTGGTCCTTTGAATGCAGATGGTAGCATTTCCCCTCCCCATTACTGCGTTTAGACTCTTAGTGCAACTCTATAATGATGTGCTTAATATGACAACCCTTGATGGTTGATATTTGGGGTTCCATCGATCTACAGTTGCAACTCCTAAAAGAAATTGCATCATTGCAGGCAAACAGGATATTGTCAGATAATATAAAATTCAGTCTTTACAGTAATCCACAATAATATGTTATCGGAGTCACTAACCCCAGGGATTCTCAAAGTTTGTTGTAGTCAGGACGTTCAAATATGCATTCATAAGCCACTTGACAAGAACCCATTTGGATGCAACATCCATATGGAGGATTTTTTTTTTAATTGTTAATGCATTGCTGAATTTGCTTCTGTGGGGATAAAGTGCTGGGTATAATGAACAGTGGATAGAGACCTTATTATTTCATGGGGATAACCTTCTGAGATTTAAAAGAAAGGTAAACATAATTCAAAAAAGTCATTTGTTGATTATGGAGGCACTTTCATTTTATAGGTAAAAGTCTTCTGTAAATGAGCTGTGAAAACTAAATAATAGTTTAAATACCATTGTTTTTGTTGTGTTTGTGTTTATTGTTGTTGATTGTGGCATCACATCAATATATATATGAAGTATAGCTGCTGTAAAATTATCGAATTATGTTTATCTGAAAACAAGAAATGTCGTACAAAAAACCCCCCAAAAAACAGACCAAACAAAAAAAACATAGTTTCACAGTATCAGGAGCTGTTTCAAAAACATGTGTGACATGGATTGTGCACTAAAACAATTAAATACAATAATAACAAAAATAATTAATAATGAAAGAAAATTCAAATTTTCAAATTTCAAATTTTTCAAATTCAAATTTTTCAAATTCAAATTTCAAATTTGTGCTTAAATCAAAAGATAAGTAGACTATATTATGTGTTAAGTGTTATGTGTCAGTATTTTAGCTTACAGTCACGTCTGGCATATATACTTCAGTGGTTTAAATCTAAATCAGGGGTGTCAAACATGAGGCACGTGGGCCAGAATCGGCCCATCAAAGACTTCAGTCTGGTCCGCTGGATGACTTTGGAAAAAGTCAAGGAGAACAGAAATTTTGTACTTTAATTGTTTTTTCATAGGTTTACAAAGGAGTCTAAACCTTTTCAGACTGACTGATCCTAAAGAGTTTCTTTTTCATCTGTTTTGTGTTTTATCTTTAGCCAACTGCACTTATATTATACGCAGGTTCTATTTAAGTCATTTCTTGATTCAGAATATCATAGGGCCTGGGTGTGGTTAGTATTTTTTTGGTTAATAAATGAAGTCATCATTTTACAAACACAGTTTTGTGTTTACTTGGGTTGATTTTGTCAAATGTTAAAATTAGTTTGATAGTGTGAGCGATGCAATTATGACACATGTGCAAAAAACTAAGAAATAAGGAAGGGAACAAATACTTTTTCACAGCACTGTACATAGCAGGCGTGCTGGAGTAAACAAATAATAAGAGTGGGTGAATATGGCTTACAACACTTGGCAAAGCAGAAAGACAAATTGACAAGACATCAGTTTTTTTCATCGTGGATTAAAGAGTGAATGCTCCCTATAAGCCAGGCAGCATTGGGAAAACTCCCTTTATAGTCTACTGTATAGTAAGCACTGAGTGATTTCATAATGCTACTGAAAAATGCTATGTGAAGATATTAACAGACAGCTTAAAACACATTTCCTTTCTGAGCTAAATCTCAGCTCTCTCTTTTCTTATACCAGATTGAGATCGTTCACAAGAACCAAGCTCCCATGCTAATGGGACCACCACAAGGTCGAAGCTTCTTCTCTTCGCTGATCAGACGAACTCGCACTGAGAGCAAAGACTGAACCTTCAAGACCTCCGAGTGCTCACACACACCTGCAGGGCAGTAGTCACCGGTTGATCTTAGCTGGGCCTGTTTGTAAAGGAGCCCTTTGTCTGATTGATAGCCCAGCATACAGTAGCAAAGTGTAGGATCAGGATGTGTCGCCTGCAGCATGGAGATGTCACTGAGAAGCCCACATTGAATCCAAAGCGAGGCGAGTTTAGGACTGACACTTTCTTCTACAGTCTGTGGTGTAATTTCGCTCCAAAAATATTGAAGCTATTTATGGAAGTTCACTTCTGTTCTTCTATTTTCTAAACTTCTGTTTTTATTTTTGCTGTTGTGCTCTGTGCCATGTGTAACAAGCCCACCGCTGAATGTGTTTTGTGAGATGTATTTATTTATTTATTTATTTATTCATATTTAACTGCTATTGATGTTTTCTAATGTTTTATTTTTGTATTTGCATACCCCTGATGCATGATGGACAGTGAAAGAGGCTGGTGCTGTTGGAGATGACATATCTGGAGTTTGCATCTGATTTTTCCCAAAGTGTTTAGTAAAAAGTGAAGTGTCTCTACCCGACATCTCTTCTACGCTTCAGTCATGAATGGCTTCAAATAGTGCAAAGACAGAGAATCTGCTTTCGTTTCATGTTTCCTGCAAGTCATCCTTGTCATGTTTTGATTGGCTGTTTTGCTTCTCCGTCAGTGGAAAGATTAGGAATGATTATTGATTGCTCATAAAAAATGCATGACACTCTTTGTTTTACGTTGCACGAGAGATTTCCAGACAGTTTTACCAGATCTGTGCACACTTTCTGTTGCATGAGTGACCATGATCTCTTTTGACACTTATGGAAATTGATCATTTTTGAATCTGCATCTACAGCACAGCTCTGTTTCAACCACATCATCATTTATTTGCATTTTTATGGGATCCTGTGCTTTCTTAACAGGTACTCAGGCATATTAGAATGAAAATCTTTGAAAAGCCACAGAAAACAACAATATTTATCTTGTATAGTACAAGCACTTGTATAGTTATGTTCACAAGAAGCAGCTTGGTAACTGATGTTTGTTGATGAGGGTTTACGGTCCGCTGCGCAAGTAAGCGTCCATTAAACAGTGAAAGATCTACAAAATTACTATTGACATTCATGTATATACAGTGCTGTGCAAATTCCTCATTTCTTTATATTTTGCTTCCAAGTATCCAGACTGTCTTTAATTTTTATAGTGCTCCTGAGCAACAATTCTACAGGCTTTCAAAGTTTTCCTTTGGATATTGGCTGTTTTTACACTCATTTTCAGTCCGGTCCAATTTTCAGAGGATTTTTGTTTGTTTGTTTCTTAAGCTACTTAACACTGATTTTTAAATCACTCAGTGTTGTCTACGTAACAGACAAGTTAGCAAAAAGACAGTTTTAATTTTTAACTTTAGCACCTTGTTAATAGCATGATCCCATTTCTTTAGTTGAATATCCCCCCAAAAAAGTTAATGCCAAAGATAACTTAGTTTACTGGCATAAAATAGTGTTTTGGACCAACAAGGGGATTATTAGCCAAAAATCTGGCTTATTTTAGCATGTCGTGCACTATGTCCTTAAAACAGCATATGGAAGTCGTGTCCTTCAGAAACAGCAAAAACACCTGAGTCAGGTCTCTTTGTCAATACAGACTTGACCCAGAGACCGGAAAGATGCATCTGGCCTTTCAATTGATCCATCTCCTTTCAGCAAAGCCCCATCATAAATGTTCTCAGTATGAAGGTGGCTATGAAGAAGCCATTCTTAAAGAAGGGAAACAGGGAAAGAAATCACAAAAAAGTCTATAAATCAGAGGTAACAGGTCTTGTGGAGTTGATCCAAATGTTACATTTTGAGTTAAAATATGTTTGGAGCAGGTCAGGAGAGAGCAACCACAGTGAGTGTCTACAGGCATCTGTAATACACAGTGGAGGCTCTGTCATGGTTCTGGGCTGCATTTCAACCAGTGGTGTTGGGGATTTTGCCAAAATTGGAATTATGACCGTGCAAAACTACCAGCTGATTTTAATCCACCATGATGTACCATCTGGAAAGCATTGGATTGGCAAAAGCTTAATTCTTCAGCGTGACAATGATCCCAAACTCACTGCCAATGCAGTAAAAGTATACGTGGATAGAAAAGCACAAAACAAGACACTAAGTAATGGCTTGGCCTCCATAGAGCTCGAACCTTAAGATAATTGCAGCGCTGGGGGATCATCTCCACAGAGAAGAGACCAAAAGGAAGCCAACGTCCAAAGTAGAGCTTTGAATGTCATTCAAGGAGCCTGGAGAACTATTCCTAAAGAAATATCTAGAACGCTGCCCAAGAGAGTTCAGAAATTCAACATGTTGGTACCAACCTTTTAAAGAATCAATACTGAAAATCAGTCACATTTTATAACAGTCACTAACATATGCACAGTTGCCATTTATAGATAGTAATTTCCTATGAGTATCCTCCTTAATACAGAGCATTAAGTGGCTGGATGGTATTGGTCTTATTCAGTGCTTTTCTGCACTAATTTCATTCAGGCTGACCAAAGACTAAAAGTACTCACTTATTCATATTCTGGGGACATTCTGTTACAGACCTACCAGCGAGACACACTTGATAAATGCATTTGTTTTTATAGAACTTCACATTTGCATGTTTTGGGAAGAATTTTAGGCTTGACTGTTTCGGTCTTTATAAGTGCCATATGCCGGCGGAGACGATAGCCAAGGAGTCTCCCATGTCTTTTTGCTTTGTATTGTGTAGCGTTTATACAGTGAGGTTGTATTTTTGGACACAGTATTATTTATTTTTCTGCTTTTTGCTTCACTCTAGAACTCACACCATTTTGTTGTTGTCTAAAAAGAAATTATGCCTGCCAGTGTTGACTGAGAAAAGTGATGGAAACAATAAAAAAGCTTGTTGTTTGGCATTGTGTTCAGGAATTTTTTTAACCTTTTACTCCTTAATGATGCATAGTAGTCACATATTAGTCAAAAGATTGTTGGTATAACAGATTCAAATTCTACGGGCGTCACAGTTAGCGCTGTTGCCTCAAAGAAAGAAGCTTTGAGGCAACAGCACGATTTGAATCAGTGCAGTCTTTATGTCCTCTCTGGTCCTGTGTTTCCTCAGGTGCTCCATCCTCCTCCAGAGACATGCATGCTAAATTAATTGATAATTATATGTATGACACAAATATGAGGTAGGCGCTTTAATTGCAATTATAATATTGTGTTTTCTGTATGAACAAAATTGACAAAAGGGCGACATAAATGCAAGGCTGTTATCGGTCAGGATATTGTCTCCATTGCTGTTTATCAAATTTAGCATAGCAGTGTATCAGCAACGGTCTACTGCTTGCTTTCACACTACTAGAAATGTTTAAGTAGAAGTTAATGATTAGAGTAGAATTAGCTAAATTACCAGCTCTGTTTCCACAGAGGCACAATGGGACATCATGCAGTCTTTGTACTAGAAAAGTAGCACTTTATAGAACACTGATGGCCAGTGTGACTAAGTTGGGTAATTTCTTTGTCACATGCAGTCCAACTCTGGGCAATACAGTTACCGGTAGGTCTATAACTTTTGGGGCAGTTACACCACTTTTTGCAATGTGCCTCTGTACACCACCGCAAAGTTTGTGGCCCTCTCTCCATTCAGTTTTGTATTTAATAATTAAAAAGCATATTCTACTGGGTTGAAATGAGGTAACTGCCTTGGCCATCGAAGAATAGGGTTAGGATCCCATCTCTTTGTCTTGAGAAACTCTTTTGCAATATGCTTTGGTTCATTATCCACTACACAATATAATAACACTGCCAACACTAATAGCCCAGTTCCACTGGCAGCTATACATGCCCAATGCCATAACATTGTCTCCACCATGTTTGACAGATGATGTCATATTAATTGAGTCATGAGCTGCCTCTTTCCTTCTAGATGCCTTTTTCCTTCCCATTATTTCAGTACCAGCTAATCTTGGTCATCATCTGTCCAAAGTCTAATCTTTCCTTCCTGTTCTTCGGTGTAAGTTGTGGTTTTGACCTTGTTGCATTTTTAACATTCATGAAGGGATTTCATGATTGCAAACCTTGACAATGATACTCCCCCCTCATTGAGTGTTCTTGACTGGGCTTTCTCTATCCAGTCTTCTGTGGTCTTTGGGGATGTTCAATGAGGTGGTTTACAGAGGCAAAATTACAAAACTTTTGCTGCTAGCCAAAAACCTATGGACCTAACTGATTCTCTGAGACAATGGCTTTAGTTTCATTTTTGTGCCACTAGTTTGCAGCCATTTGTTTCTAAGCAAACCCAGATAGTACATGGTTTTTCATCTCTTTTCACCAACAGGGAGATATTGACTTGGAATTTGAATCTACATAACTCTAATCTCTGTATTATTGTAAAGTCTTTGCTTACAGCACCTGGAGACTGCTATACTATAGCAATCACTATTGCTATACTACATAAATAAAATCGAATTAAACTGAATAACTACTCATTTGTTAGTATAACTTGCCAAGATTAATGCTCATTCCCATTAAATATATTCTGTTCATGTTAGTTTAACACCCTGTGAATTCCTGATCTTCAACATTTGTTTTTCATCTTGCATCCTAGAGGAGATAGCTCTATTTCTCTCTCTCTCTCTCTCTCTCTCTCTCTCTCACTCCCATGTGAGTGATAGTGAAATTACTAGAATGTAAAAATGTTTGGCAATAAGCTTTCACTTGCCACTAATTTTTCTTCTTCTTCTTTTTTAATAGTACAAAAGAATGCAAGAAATGTTTCAATAAATGCTCAAAGAGGATAAGCAGCAAATGAAGTGGTTAACTGTCTTTATAATGATTATTCTTGTCCCCTATTTTTAGTCACCTCAATTTTGGCTAAATAAGTACAAGTGAAACACAGTGTAGTAATCTGGAGTAACTTCAGTGTCTTGAGTTTTATTTTTGAAAATAAAACAGATGGGGAAAACCCCAATTATATTCTTTTGGAGTGGCACTTGGTTTAGGGTATTGGCTGTCTCAGTGTCAGATGGGTAGACTCCTGCACTTGACCTGCGTTTCTCCATCCTCGGGGTGTTCAGCAGGAGTGACACAGTACTTCACTTCACATCCACTTCACCTGCCTGGTAATGGAACCCTGCCTGGATCCAAGATGGCACCAGCGTGACCACCACTGACTTCCGATATGCCTGTCTTTCAGTCAAGTGTTTGATGCACTGGTAAAGTTCTCTTTCAGGGTTTTATCCTAGATCTGTTCTGTATCCTGGCAAGCAAATCTATGTTGATTGTTATGCACCCAACACACATTTTTACAAATTACAACTTAGCTGCAACAGTGACAAAAAAGCATTCCTGACAGTGGTAATGATTATTTTTTTGCCCTTGACCTTCTTTCAAAAATAACGCCTGTAAGCTTTAAATATAGGTGTGCAACCAGGAAACTGCAGACATCCTACAACAGTCAGACCAAACAGAAAAAGAGATCTAAGGGGAGAAACTTATCAGATTCACAAAACAAAGTAGTATTTTATTCTGAAAAGTCTGATTCTTTAAATCTCTCAGAATATTTCTTGACATGTACAACACGTTCAAGTTTATTTATTGTTGTGATGTACATGCTGTTCTATTTAACTCAAAGCCACGGTGTCAAACTTCTTTAGTTCATAGACCACATACAGACAAATTTTCATCTTAAGACCAGTAAAATCATTTCATACACACTTAGAAAAAAATTCTAAGAATAAAGAAGTACATTCTGAAATTGTTCATCAGAGCTGTAGCCAAGATTTTTAAAAAGCTGAAACCATAAACCTAAGAAAGACATTCCCCATCCAAATCCCTTAAAAATGTGCCAGACAACAGAAGGCATTATTTTTTATTAATTTTGTTGTCATGTAATGAGTGATCCATTTATAGAACAGATGAAAAACAGCCTGAGATGCATGAGGAAAAATTAGAAATTCCAAAACTATATCTCAATGTTATGATTCAAAGATTCTGTTAAAAAACATATAAAACCATGTAACTTTCCTAATACTTTCACTCCAGGCTAGAATAATTCCAAAAAACAAAAAGATTTTACTCTAGTTCTGTCACTGTATTGTTGTATTTATTGGCAGTTTTGGTCCTCGGGGCTGTATGTTTGACATCCCTGCCCTTAACTACTTTGGCATTGAAAATAATAGTTAAATTAAGATTTTGTTATGATAAATAACACTTGCTGGATGTCACATACTTAATATTTTTAGAGTTTATTCGGGCTCTGAGAAGAATTCATGGTAAATTGCGAAAGCGTGTTCATGCCAATAACAAATAAGTACCCATATGTCCAATACAAAATCTTGTTTTGAGTATTGACACCAGTGTCATCAGTTTAAGGCCTAAAAAGAGAAACATAAGCACATCGATATTCTCCGAAATGCTGGTGTTTGGTTATTTCACATAACTAACATTTTCTATGTATTGTTTAAACTGAAGAAAAGAAATGCACAGATCAGAAGTAACCTGTTATTAGTATACATTATCACAGTGGCTTTTTGAAGTCATGCCATATTTTTTTCTACTGAAAGAATAAAGTGCATTTGCAACTTTTAATGTTTTAATATCGGTGTTAACTGCTAGTAACTGTACTGGCCAACCTTGGTACTGGTATTACATAATATTAAATGTAAAGCAAATGTTATGCTTTAGCTGTAAAACTGCACGATTAAAACTTTCCATGACATTCAGGTTTGGGATCTGGACTTCCCTCTTAATTTAAAATGGTTTGAGGAAGCGGGGTTCAGTGGGATTTCTTTTTTTTTTTTTTTTGTAGGATTTTTTTTTCTGCCCGCTGACCTGGACTTTACTTCCAGGTCAGTGCCTTCTGCAGGTCTCAACAAAGTATCCCTTTACAGGAGAGGGAAGAGCTGGCGCTTCAGCAAGTCCCCCTGGAGGCTCTTCAAAACACCGTTACCATGGACACAAACTTGACCGGGAGAAGAGTGAGTGGTGTGTTTGTGTGTCTCACACTGTATGCGATTGCGAAAAAAACGAGAAGGAGAGGGGGTGAAGACGTGCGCGAGAGGGCGGGGGTGTGCAGGTGCAGTTTGCATGTGTTTCAGTGTAAATACAAAATAGTGACACCAAGTTGTCATGAAGTTTGGTGGCTAGTTTCGGCTTAAAAACGCAAAAGTCCAAACTTAAACAAAGCGAGATGAGCGCACGACAATGTTGTCATTGACTTCGCCCGCGCTTACCGCCTGCAGCCGTGCGTGATTGACTGCCAGCAATCTGATCCAGTGAAAGACATTGACAACCAATAGGAAACGGAGTGCGGCTTGTTTCCATGGGAGGCCCCGGGAGGCGATGCCAAGCCGCTAGAAAGCAACACAGTGAGCGGGGAGAGGTGCAGGCAGCAGCCGGGACTGTGGAGATCCTGCAGCCGCTCTGTAGCTCTCAGCAAATGAAAGCGGCGCGAAGTTGGTAGGTAAGTACATGCAGTTTTACACACTTCCTCTCATTTCTAAGTTTATTACAGAGCGAAAAACATTTTGGTGCGCCCTCTAGCTCAGCGCGCTGCTCGTTTACGCACCAACTTAACTGTACCGCATGATCGCCGGAGGTGCCGTCGGTCATTCCGGGCTCAGAATAATATCAGAGGGTTCATACACTGAATAAAACAGAGATTTAAACCCGAAGTTTTTCTCCTCCTTATTCCTGCTTCCTATTTATCTGCCTGTTTGAAGGGTGGCCGGACAGGAGACTGGAGACTTTGCAGATTGCTCGCCCGTTAAAGCCACAACAGTGCAGAATGGATGGATTTCACGATCAGCAAGTGCCTTACTATAACTCCAGAGTGAGTGATCACTGCCTCAAAAGAAGAAAAGTTGAAATGAAATCAGTTTCACTCATCCTTCTCTTCTTCCAGCTCCCACCCCATTAAGGAAAATACTTCATCTTGATTTTTTTTCTGCCTTTTGTACTGTGGATGGCTGTTCTCTCTACTGCATTCTATTTGTTCTGATCTCACCTCTGTCTTTCTCTCTGCTGCTGCCAACACTCATTTCTCCCTCAGGGACCATTTAAGTTTCATCTAATCATCAAAGATAAACAGCCAAACAAGGTGCCCATTACTTTACCCTGTGTTATTGGTTATGCACCATGTAACAACTTGTTAATTATGCCTGATAAGTGAAGCACAGACCCCTTTGCATGGGTCAAGCTTTAGAAGTGTGTGAGGCATTAATCAGAGGCTCATTGAGGCTCTTTCATTTGCTATTTCAGTTGCACATGTGATGCAGCCAACAACAGAATTACTGCTCCAGCAAGAAGAAGAAAAATTGATGAGTGTGTGTGTGTTTTCTTTCTTTCCCAAAAGCTGCAAGAAAAGACAACGAGCTGCGAGAGGCCAGCAAATGACAGAAAGAGAAAATTCATTAAGTCCAACCTGGCTCTGGACACTGAAGGTAGGACAGAGGGAGAAGTTAATTTCACGGCTTCTAAACATTTAGCAAAATTCAATTGGTTTGTGGCCACCTGTGCTGCTAACTACAGAATCTCAATTACAGCACAGCGGCCTGTGATGATTCTCACAAGCCTCTTTTCAGTGGTCAGAAACACAAATTGACTTGTTATTAGCTGCACACATGCCCAGTGAGCTCCAATGGCATATCAGCCAGTAATAGTGAATGCACTTGTTTCTGATACTTCTCTTGAGCTTTGACTGTTTTTCAACTGCCTTCAAACCTTGATCTCTGCCTCGGTTTCCCTTTCAGAGCTCTTCCAGGACCTCAGTCAGCTGCAGGAGACTTGGCTAGCAGAAGGTGAGTGTTTTAAATCTTGAGCAAAAAAAGGAGGAGAGATGGGTAAAAATGAATAGGTTGTGAGTGTTGGGGGGGAGGCTGCTGCCTGGAGTTACATGCCTAGCGTCGCAGTCCAATTAAAAGCCTGTGTGGAAGAGGCACCTTGTGTGTCATGCATACATTAGAGACTGTGAGCGAGGGGTCTTGAGGGAGACCGAGGAGGCTCTACCCAGAGAGTGTCATCACAAATTACCAGGAGAAGGCTCTCCGACGCTCACTGTCTCTTCTGCTTTTGGCAGGAGCTAACGCGCTGCACGCCAGCCGCCACTACCTCCACCTCCACCAGAGCTCTGCTGTAGCCTACCAGCTCTCTTACTCTCACTCACTCTGTCATCTCCTCTCTCTCCCCTTTCTCTCTCTCTCTCTTTCCCTCTCTCTCTTTGCTTCCTCTCAGCACACCTCTCTATCTTGTACAGCTGTACCTTCACCTTGTCTTCTTCAATTTCATTTCTTGGTGGCAAAAAAAGAGAGAATGGATCTATGAGAAATTTTTTTTCTCCGCAAACTTCCAAAACAGCAGCCAGCTCTCAAAGCGACAATTGATTTTTATTTTTTTTTTAATATTACAATTTTCTTGCTTTTTAAATTTTTTTTCTCTAATGGCAAGACTTGCTCATTGTGGTCTAACTGAGACGTGATGCTTCAGGATTTAAGTGCGAGCGTCCTCTTTCCTCCGTGTCTGCAGCACCGAAGTTTTGGTTAGTGGTGAATATTGTTCACTTTTGCTGTATTTCTTTGTGCATGCATGTTGGACTTTTTTGTCGACATCTCAGAAAGATGTAACGTACCTTAATATTGCATGTAATCTCAAAGTTTATATCCAAGTAAAAAAATATTTTTACAGGAAGAAGTATAATTTGAGATATATGTGAAGTGTTTGCTTTGCTTGCAAACAGATGGTGTAAAGTTGTACAGTGTGAGAGAACACAACTGTTTTATAAAGTTGGATTTTGAAGTAGTTTTTGCAAATATATATAAACCAGAACAATTAAAACAAATTCTAGTGTTTTGTCTGCAAAATGTCCAAAGCACAGGGTTAAAATGAAGTTTGTAAGTCACTTGATTACAATTGCCCTTATTATTGTACTAGACTATTATTATACTAGACTAATTCTAGACTTTGCTTTACTATAGCTCGTTGGCTAATGTATAAAGTGCTATATGTGTTAGAAACTCACTGATTTATGTGCATTTTTCATATAGTTTTAAATTAAGGTTTGATAATGAAATATTAAAATTGAAAATTTTGTAGAATTGTATAAAACTGGAGTTGGAGTTATTATATTGTAATGCTAAAATGTTCTGCTTCATAATTTGGTTCATTTAAATACATTAACACCAAAAAGCATTTAGTCTAATGAGACGCTGATGTTAGTTTTACTGTACTGTCTTGTTTCATTTAAGTCAATCAAGTCATCTGCAGTTTGTGAATTTAGAATTTTTGTGTTCTGTTACCCGTTTGCAGCAATAAAAGGCTGCCTTCTTTTTTTCTAACAGTTCACACGTCGTAAAGCAATAATTCTAGTTGTCGTAGAATAACGTGTGCAATATAATTAAATAAACTTTAATACTTTTTTTAACCATAGGATAGAGTCGTAAAACATTTACTGGAAGAGTGTCGAGATGAATTTTTCGCTTGCTCCCTTTACGCAGCCAAAGAAGACTCAATCATTTATTCGCTCCATCTATTCTTTAACACATGTAAAAACGCTCGCAGTGCAATCCAAAGCTTTTAAAAAATGAGAAGTATTCTTTAAAACAGATATTGGAAGAGTTGAGCCGACTCGGAGCGGCAGCGAGGTGAGATGAGGCGTCGCGGCTCGCACCGCAGGGTGTGTAAAAGAATAAGACACGATTTTAATATTTCAGTATCCAAAGTGGGAAAAGAGACAGCGGCTGATAAGAGGTATTACTGTTAAAGATTACAGTTCTGCCTGTCATGGATCAATGTGATGATGTGCGCCTCAAGATTGTAGATTTAATGAATGACTTCCTGTCCATTAAGATGAAAAGGAATACCTTCCCATTTCTGAGATTTATTAGTTCAGGTAATTGGAACGAGAGGAGAAATTATGAGCGACAGACTGAATTTCCGACTCCCGAGACCCAAGATGTTGAAGGTTGATCGTTGACATGCGAATCTGTGACCCCCCCCCCCAAAACTACATCTACCTTCTTTCTTCCATACAGTATTTTAAACTCATTTTATTTTTTATTTTTTGTCAAAACAACAACAAAAAATGTATTGTACTTCTCAGATTTTTTGCTTTAAGATTGTTTTTCCTTTTTCCTTTGTTCACGCACTGGTGTCTCTGCAAAATTTTTGTGCTGATAGCGTCATTTGTCTTGGAAATCGTCACAGGCAGAATGATAAATTTGTTTAAAACTCAGCCCTGCTTACTGCTGTTGCAGGTTTAGACAACCATTCAAATAGTCTCAGGCCTCGTGTTTACAACCTTCCTCTTCTTTACCTTCGCTCCTGTTTTCCTTCTGTCCCTCTCCCTCCTTTTTTTGGTTTTGTGAATGGCGGCAGATTTCCAACTCTGCCGTTCTCCCCAGGAGTTTGTTGCAGAGATCAGCTGGCTCATTCACAGACTGAGGCCAGTGACTCATCCATCCTGTACTTCCTTTTGGTCACAGAGAGACTGCCACCTTCTTTGTGTTTAATTTATTAATTTATTTTTATTGTTTCTCCTCTGTGTCCGCTGAAGTTTCGAGAGATGTTGTGGTGCTTCAGCTGATTAAGAACTTGGTTTTTTATTAGGAAAAATTTGATTTCTTTATAAGGTTTGAGTAAGTGTTTTCCTAACACTGTATCTGTTACATATTATTACATTTTCTTTAATTTATTACAAAAGTAGCCCTGTGTAAAATCTCCTGTTATGTCTTAATTGTTTCCCACCAACTTAATTCCAAAAGGCCAAAATAGAGAGCTGGTAGCTCTACTACACAAACATATGGAGTGAAGTTGCTTGTGCATATTTATTTTCTGGCGTCTGCACCCGCTTGACATTTTTAGAAAATAAGGAGCAATATCTCCTCTTCATCTGTTAATTGTTTACCCTCCTCAATTCTCACTTCTGGGAAGAGAAATAAACCCACGCTTGACCACATCAAGAGTGACAAAAAAGGAATATCAGTCATTTAAAAAAAAATAGGATCTCCAGACATGTCAAGGCATGCTGCACATACTGTGATAATGAGGATCCAGCTCATTTTGTTTATAAATAGATGTGCTAATGACACATTTAAATCTCTTTTTGCCTATCACCAGAGAGACTGAAACTTAAGGGACATGAAGAACTGTCACTGAGTGTAAATATGTGTTATATAAATATGTACATGCCTAATTGGAGCCCGAGTGGAGCAGGGCTTCATTATTTTAGCATTAGCCTGAGTGCAGGGGTGTTTGAAGCGCAGGTGAAGCTTTGGAGGGTTTGGAACAGACCTAACTCGGTAGGTACAGGTGGATTCACCAGTAGGGAAGAAGCCAATTAGATACTGTTAACAATGGGTGTTTGGCTGCTGGCAAGGAGCGAGAGCCGAGGCTGCAGAGCAGTCAATGGACAAGTCGACCTCAGGAAGTGAAAGTAGACGGTCAAAATATTATCTGTCAGGTACGAGTTTGTTGGAAAATATGACTCAACTGCTTTAGTAAATATCAGGGAATGTGTTAGTCACAGCAGTTCAAGGTTATTTAGTCTTTTGATTGCATCAGAATTGTTGTCTCGGGTACTTTTTGTCCCTTTTCAAGCCGTGAAAGTCAGATTTTATTTTCAGAAAGAAAAAAAAATTAAATTAAGCTCTTTTTCTACAACAAATCAAAAGTGTTTTTGCTGTTTTGTTTTCTCTCTCTCTTTTTTAAGGGAATGATATAGATATAAAATTGAAAAGAAGTGCATAGAAAATGAACATTTGAACAACTGGGCTATATTTGGATAACAAATGCGTAAAACGACTGAAAGTTTAAGAACGGATAAAAAAATCTTTATTAAGATGTGTTTTTTTTAATTCATTAATTGATTTTAATTTGCATGATTATTTCTATGACTCTGAAGATTTACAGCATATTGAAATCTTCTGCACATTTAAAATGATAAACACATTAAAAACACTTTTTTAGGCTTCTTTTCTTTTTCTTTTTTTTAACTGACAACAGAAGCAGGCAGTGCTGGGATTGGCCAAACTAACATCCCAGAGGACTGTTTGCCAGAGGACAAAGCTGTGATCAGTGCTGCGGTGTCCATCAACATCAGAAACAATCAATCCCTTTCTTCTTCTCTGCTCGTGTCTTTAGCTCAAGTTCCCGACAATGATGAGCAGTTCGTTCCAGATTTCCAGACTGAAAACTGTGAGTAAGAAACCATGTCGCTTTTCTCTGTGTCTCTTTGTCTGTGCATGTGTTATGTTTATGTGTGTGTGTGAACATCTGTGGCGTTTTTCTTTTTTTTTCACTCATCTTCACTGGTGTGTTTGTACTGGCGTAAAAAGCAAGTGACTGTGTGTGTTTTTCCATGTCTCTCAGTGCCCTCACCTTTGCTTGCACAAGTGCTCTCAGGAGAGCTGCAGCAATCGTGCAGGTCTACAGGTGCATGGTTTGGGTTGGGGGGTTAGCTGTGTGTGTGTGTGTGTGTATCTCTGTTTTCCCTTGTTGTTCTTGGGACCGCTACTGAGATATTATTGCACTGTGACTTATTTGCATAAGAAAACATCAAAATATTGTGGCTAACTTTTTTTTAGGTAGTTGAAGTGGTATTTTTAACTCCAGGTAGTCCAAACTGCTGTCAGTTGATGTCTGTTTTGAATTTTCTTTTTTAATAAAATCTTAAAAATATGCTCCTCCTTGACCTTTCCCCAAACTCCTTTTTTGTGCAAACCATTGAGTGTGGTTATATTTTCTAAATCAGGCGGTGTAATATTAAGTACTCCTGCATTTATCCTTCTTTACTTGGAGGTTGGCTGGCCTTCTTTTACACTCCCTATCCTTCACTGGAGATTTTAAAGCATGAAAGCAAGTATGATCTGTTTTTTTGTGCTTTTTTCCTCCTTGCTCTACATATTTTATCCAACAAAAGGACAAATTCTGTTTCTAAGAATACTTCCTAAAAGTTTTAAAACATTTTCCAATGTCTGACAAGAGTTCATTTTTCACTCACAGTGATGAGGATAAGCTAGTTGGTCGTACTTCACCTGGCTGTATACGGTGGTTGCACACGGTGACTGGTTACTTGGCACGGCCCATTTCTGGAGGAAGTAGTGCCAAGGTGGGGACAGAAATTGAGTGAGTGGAACTCAGTGGGACCCAGATAGAGCACATGTCTTTCATTTGAGCCAAAATGCACATTAAACTGTGAGAAAAAATACAAAACCTCCCGGTGTCCTCAACACCCTTTAACCTGCAAATGAAAGTTGAACAAAAGGCAGAAGTTAGAGTTTTGAACAAGAACAAAGAGAGAAGGTCACATCTGACATTTAGTTTGGCAACTTTAATTGCATTTCAAGATTTAGTGGTCACAGATAACAGTTTGGTAAAATGAAGCTGTAAGAGATTTGGCATCAAGCGAGATCACAGGCCTTTTAACTCCATGTGACTCAGATCACAGCCTGAGATTATCGAGAAGGTTCCCGTTGGTGGGCTAGATTAGAAACCCGAGAATGGTTTTTCTTTCTTCTCACTTTATTTTGCCACGAGTACTCCTGCTCTCTGGAAATGAAAAATCTGAGGGGATTTGCCTGGCTACAGGCACTTGACTTTAGATGTCCTAATCTGATTTGGCTTTTAATTTAACTTATGATTTAAGTTGCTCCAAAAGTGAATAAATGCGCCTTAAATCTAAACACATAAAACTGCATTAAACTAGTTATAATAGTCTGAAAAATCCATTAAATGTCTGCACTTTATTTGATTCGTTTCATTAATTTAACTTTTTATAATTGTTCAGAACGCTACAACACTAAAGACAACTGCTGTGTTAAAGGCAAAACATTTAAACTATGGGTGTGACTTAGCCTTGCCTAAAACCCAACATGGACTAGTGTGGTGTACAGTAGATAACCAGAGGTCACCAAGACTGTCCTGATGCCCTTCAGAGGTAGCCAGGGTGGGTGGCCATAGTGGCAGGAGACTGCTGACCATCTGAATTGTCCTGTTGGCAAACCTGCAGCAGGCTGGAGAGGCACTAACAGATGGCAGGAGGGTGAGGGCACCGTGGTTGGGCGCATGAGCAGGCATCCCAGCCGGCAGCTCTCCCATATGGGTTTTCACCAAGCCGAGAGATGGAGAGGCAAACGGTGAGACAGGGAGAAAGAAAGGTGAAGGTGAGGAGAGATAAAGCTGGAAGTTAACCCTAAAGAAAAGGCAGTGAGAAGATAGGGGCCGTTATGAAAATGGCAATATTAAATACTTTTAATGTCACCGAATCTAGTGAGAAATCCAAAGCTAACAGACAACTGATTCCACACAAATCAGTTACAGCAGCTTTTTCGTCTGTGAGCTCCATTGTTGCTCCAAAAACACTGAAGTGACTCACACTGTTGCACTGGGTAACATCTCCCTTTGTTACGATCAACGTGGGCACTCTCTGTTTTGTGTAAATCCCACATACTACCTCCTTGCTCCAAAAATACTCAGTACTGCCCATGTATGTGTTGTATATGTGTATTAATCTGAAAAAGACTGAGTCTGAAAAAGTGTTTGAGCCAAATTTGTAAAGGTTACAGTGCTTAGCCCTTTAAATAATTTTCATCCTATCCTCAATAGCGTGGTGAAAATAGAAAAACAATACATTATTTACTCAGATTTAAAAAACTAAAAATTGAATTTTACATTAAAATAATTCACAACAGATATTAATATGACAGTTGTGAATTATTAATGAACTTATCAAATTTGATTTAAATCAAACGTAAAACAAGCTAACAGTTAGCACAGTTAGCATTAGCCAAGATGTCCTATTTAGTTTGCTATCGATGTAAGCTAACTGCTACAATTAACAAGAAACATCTTATTTTATTGAGATGAATGTTTTCAAAGAAAATAAATGTTACCCCTAAATTTTTGTTCCTGTACTGCTGAAATAAAATTGGCAACAATAGTGAAATAGCTGTGATTTTATATTCCTAACAGAATAATAATAAAAAATCTGAAAAGAATAGGAAAGACATTTATTTTGAAGGCTTAAATATTGCAGCACATAAGCTGGTGTGTTCTGTATTTTCATGGCCAGACTCATCTTTCCTCATGAGAAGCTGTTGCAGCTTCTCTCAATGTCAACTTTGCACTCTGCGTCTATGCGACACAGAACCAGCATGTGAGCGGCCTCGAAGCGAAAGTGTCCTCAGGCTGAAGGAGGAGAGGAGAAATTTCTTTGTCTCAAACTCCAACACAGATGCTTACCATTAGCATAACTTAGCAGGGAATGGAGGAGTAGAGGAGGTGTAAAATGAGGCCACACGTTACCAGCAGATCTGAGCCTCCATCATTTAACAGCAAAGGCGAGCACCTACAGTAGGTGAAAATGGAATGGAAGGTTTTTCGCTGTTGCCAAAAGACCTGTATTTTTTTATGAATGGACTAGAGAAATATCTGCCAAACGTAGGCTCCCGTTCTGCCAAAACGCACAATTTGTACCTTCAAAGTTGACAACAGCCGGAGCCAACAGTTATCTGATAGTGTACTGAAAGGACTGGCAAACAAACGGCTGCTAAAATAAAAATATTCGAATTAAGTGTTGTTGGAAAATGCAAAAAAAGTTTTTTTTTATTTGCATGTGCCACGATGTTTAAAGGAAAGATTTCTGTTTAATCTGTACTGCAAAGGCTAAAGCAAATTGCCCAATGTTTAAGTCAGTGGTACAACGAAGAAAAGAACATTTGCATTCAAAATAGACCCAGTAATTGTTCTAACTGCCTCTTCTTTAAAACTGCCTACCATCTTAGTTAATCAATATGTAGATAATGAGAGCAATCAAGCAGTGATGGGCATGACATTCTGGACTAAAAGGGAAGTCTCTGTTTTAGTCAGAGGCAATGCCCTCGCTATTGATTTGTGTACCTTGGCACCCCGCTGACAAAATCTATTGTGACATTTCCATTTCTAATTTAATGCCCTGTGCTGCAGCACACATGAAGCCATTGTTTAGAGCTGATGTGGCGCTTACGTTTAACGGCAGCATTTTTATAGACGTTGTTTTAATGTCATTTATTGTTAAATAAAGAAAGAAATTATGGTTCAGCTTCAGGTGAGCTGTAAACAAGAAGCCGGTGGAGTCGGCTCTTAAACTAAACAAATTCATGTGTGTTTAATGTAAACTGTAATTAGCCCGACACTGATTGTGATCTTGACAGCCAAAGCTGAGGTATTGTTTTGAGTCCATAATCTCTTAACAAGGCTTTGCGATGCCAGCGTCAACAAAGGTCTCCCCTCAGGAAATGTCTCTTTGACCTCCGATCGATGACCCAGAAAAGGTCAGGCCCCCAGCGAGGGCTGCAAACAACCCCTGAGCTTTGTCATGCCGGGCCCGTGTGGCCCATCACCCAGGGGGCTCGACTGTGCGTCAGATGGGGTGTTGGCAGATCGACCCCTGCTCGTACAGCAGCTGTCTGTCAGCCGTGAGAAAACTCCTCAAAACATCCTTCTCTCTCAACTCCTTGTAGCCTCAGAGACCTTCTTGTATTTAAAAGAAAAACAGTCCTTAGCCACATATTTAAGTTTCTCTAGTACTCAAATATCTAAATGTTTGCACTTGAGTTGGACCAAGAGTTGATGGACTTTCTCCATTCATAATTCCTGGTTATAAAAGGAGAGGGCCATCTCTCAGTCTAAAACATCAATCAAAAATGATCGTCTTCAACCGCGGCTGGTCCTCTGTTGTGTTTGATAGAGCGCTGTGGGATGGCTTCGCTGTTGCTCTGTGAGCCGTCGCGGTGAGACGGCGATTGGCGAGGCAACCTGAGCCTGACTTCATTCTGACTGACTGGCTTTTTCTTCAGAAGCACAGTCAATTGGATTAGCGTTGATCATGACTCTAGATGATGGGATGTTAATCAGGACTGATCAGGCACTTAACAGCCTCTCAGATGCACCGGGCTCACTGTGGGGCCATAGGTAGAGATCGCAGGCCCCCATTCAGATCAATGAGACTTGTTGTTGTCGTCTGGAACTTATTGACAGCCAGCTGAAAGCAGATAAAGCATTTATCGGAGCTCACCGCACACCCTGTTTCATGATTGTCATATTTCACTACCAGAGTCCCCGTCAGGAAAGGCTGAATAAATGGGATTTGAAGTGAGTTGTTTGTGTAAGTGATGGCCTCAGATGTCATATCCTTTGGCAGATGGATGCTTAGAAAAGCAAGTGTTTTTAATATATCCATCACGAGTTCTCTTAATTAGTGATGGCTTGGCACATTCATGCCAGCTTGTATCTGCACTGTAACATGACTTTTTCCATTGTGGGTAAAGCTGCTGTGTGCAGTTCTGAAATTTAATTGTATTTTAAGTTTTGAAATTGAATCTGCTGTACTTAAATAAAACAAGCAGTATTTTTTTTCCAGACTGTGATCATCTCATTTAATTTTTGTGAATGATCTGTCAGATGTAAATGAAGACAGCGGTTTTAGTTTTTATTCATTTATTTTTTCCGTCCTGTGATTGTACGAATTCTGTCTCAGGTACTTACAAGCCAATCCAGAAACAGTCTGCTGCTAAATGAAGAAAAAAATAGTCACAACCTTAAAAAATGTTACAGTTTGACAGAGTGTAAATGTTAATTGTTCTTCCTCCTTCCCATCGTAGTGGCGTTCCACGGACTGCAGCTGAAGATCAAGAGGGAGCTGCACAGCCCGTGTTCAGAGCTGAGCTCCAACTGTAGCCAGGAGCGGCCCTTCAAACTCCAGTATGGAGAGAAGTGCCCGTACAGCATCAGGTGGGCTCCCCCCCCACCGACACTTAAAACATCTTTTACAAATTATTTAAATGCTTTTGTACATGATACCTTTTTCCGATTTGTAAAGAAAACACAGAAAATAACATTTGGTTCCACATTCCTCACTTTAACAGAGGAATAAATGCAAGTGTGAAGGTTTATTGTAGGACAGTGATGACTAAATACTCACTTTAGCTTGTCGTCAGTTTACTCTTGGTGAAGAATCTTTATGCTTTCTATACATTTGACATTTTTTTTGGCTTTTTCATTCTGCATTGTAATTTTTATTTAACTGGAAATGACTTGCTAATCATTCCAAACTGCAAATCAAAGGACATCGAGATATGTACAGCTTTGGGTGGTGACTCTGAAGACATTAACGAGATATTTCCAATCAGAGGTATTTATGTGAGATTATGGCAGTCATGTTAGTTTTAATTGTCTGTTATAACTGAACTGAATCAGAGGGTTTCTGGAACCGCTGATTATGGAGTGGTTTAAAATGCCATTGATTCTAACTGCAGTCTGACATAAATGCCCTGAGGTAGTTTGTGATGCATTTCTTCACTTTGTGACATCTGCTCAGAGTCTTTACATCCAAATCTTGCACAAGGCTTCATAATTTATACAGTAAATCAAATTGGTTTAGAAAACAGTGAAAGGATAGTTGAGTGGGTAGGGCATTTGTTCCAAACTACCCTAAATACAGACATCTTAAGACGAAGCTATCAGTTAAATAATCCTTAATTAAAAAGAGTTTAAATCGTGTAACGTACACTGGCAGTAACACAGGCATCTTTGACTCTTGCTATTACCCCAGTGCCTATGAGCAGAAGCAGCCCACAGGAATGAAGCCCTCCAGCCCAGTGACACCCCCCTGTAGCACCCCTGTGTCCCCACTTCATCATGGCTCACCCACGACGGCCCCAACACCCAAACCAGACAGGACCTACACCCACATACCGCCCTCGCAGCCTCTCCCTGATAACGCCTACACTATGGACCACAGGTACTGCAGCCTGCAGCCTCTTACATTTACATCACATTTACATCTGGTGATCTTAGCTGGCAGTTGTACCAAGGATAGATTACAATAAGGTCACAGCAGCAGATGCACATCTGAGTTTCTGTTTTTCATTGAGTGAATCCTCAGTGGGCGGGGCCTGCAAACGACAACTTTCCCAACCATCGAATGCCATGTGGTCATCACTTGACTTTAGTGCTTTGAAATAGAGCTCATTCAATAAATCAATAGCAGAATGGAAAAAACAAAACAACAAACAGACGTACTAAGTTAATTATTTCAAGCAAAAGATTTTTTTTAGGTGTGAATTTTCCAGTTTGGGAGTAAAAATGTCAGATTTCTCTTATAATGTAATATAATGGATTTAAATGACACTTCCCTTGTGAATCTCAAATTCTTAAAGGAGAATAGAGTTAGCTAACATTAACATCCCTCTGCACAGTAACACAGTTGGCGGATGTGCACTGTATATAGAAAATACTTTATACATGAAACTTTTCAAAACAAGTTTTGTGGATTTTTAGAGTAATCAGGACACAAGAGGCATTTTACTTCTGAGTTACTCCCATGAGCACCACAAGCCAAGTGCCATAGGATAAACATGTATATTTGATTTTGGTTTGAGATTCTTTAATTCAATTTTCAGACAAATATTCCAAACCTTTCCTTTATTTTTTGCTTTTTTTGGTCACCTGTAGGCATGAACATAGGGGAAACAAAAAGGCAAGCACTTGAAAACATCATTACGGATTTCAGAATTTTCACTTCTATTATTGATTCATTGATTAGTAAAACAAAATGTACATGTTCTTGATTTATCTCCTTTTTGTCTCATCAAGTCGTTCACAATCAGGAGTCAGTGTCATGAATCCACTGAATTTGTCGTCTGTCTCAGATTTCGACGTCAGCTCTCAGAGCCTTGCCACTCGTTTCCCTCCCCGCCGACAATGGCTCGGGACGGCCGGCCCATCTACCACAGGCAGATGTCGGAGCCCAACATCCCTTTCCCTCCTCAAGGCTTCAAACAGGAGTACCCCGACCCCCTCTTCGAACACCCGGCCATGATGGGGGCCCCTATTCCCCACACATACCCAGCCGGCATGATGATTAAGCAGGAGCCGAGGGACTTCACCTATGACTCAGGTGAGCGATTTGAAAAGATTTCTCTTGTTTGTGCTCCTTCAAACTCCTCTGGTAAGTGAAAGAGCAGAGAAGTGATAGCTGCCAGAGCATTATCATTTCAGGAATGAGAGAAGACATGGCAGGAGGGGGCGGTTTTATTGAGTTTGCCCATTATTAGGGCAGGGGATCTGGTTGGGCTGGGTGTCTGTGCTGTTCGCCATTTCCTGTGGTGCTCTAATAGAAAAAAAGGAGGGGGCTGAGCCTGGTCACAATCCAGAATCTGCCCTCCCACGCTTGTCCGCTCCCTTCGGTTAGAGAGTAAAGGGACCTAATCATCAGCCAGAGGCTCTGTGGAGCCTCTGTGGAGCCTGAGGCTACCTCGGGACATGAATGAACATTCGCCGGACTGCCGGGTTCATTCAGAAGGCGACAGAGTGGACCCAGGAGAGGAAGAGCTGGAGGAGAGTGTGTGTGACCAGTCAGGGGGAAAAAGCAACCTCCAAACACCAAAACATGTGGTGCCTCATTCACATCTCTTTAAGTTACACCTGGTTTTCCTAACAGCAGCTCTGCAGTTTTTGTCATTGAGGAGTCAAGCAGCTGTGATTTTTGGTGTTTTCTCGCTTTTCCAGTGGCAGCGTTACTTTGCAATAGATGTGTTTACCGAGTTTCACAACTATGTGGCTTCTAAATGCCACAAAAAAAATAGAAAAGAAAAGAAAAACAAGGTTCGGTCCAAAATAACCCTGTTTTTTCACAGTTTCTTGGGTTTCTTCTGGCCTATTTGCAGCAATGTTATTTGCATCAACCATTATTCTCTTGTTTTATTCGGGTTTTTTGTTCGCAAATTTGGCCAAATACAGGCAAAAATTACAGAGCCCAAAATGACACTGGCAGCTTGATTTTCTCTTTAGTAATAACAGTCAATTCTTACATTTCACCGGGTGAAGCAAGGTGTTTTTTCATAGATAAATGAAATGGCTTTAACAATTAGAAGAATTGTTATTGATGCAAGTAAACTGTCTACAAAGAGTTGTGTGCACTCATAAAGCAAAAGTGGTGAAATATATTCGATCAACTGTTAAAATACCAAAAGGTCTTCCTTGTGTTGTGTCCACTACTTGGACCAAGATGTCCAAGAAGGAGCATCAGAGTGAATTTATTAGCAGCCACAGTGGGGCATGTTGACTGGAGCTGGACTGTTGAGAAGGATGGGAGGGGATCTGGTAATTTCATTAGCAGCAATTTCCTCTACAAGTCCATTACTTTGATGAAGCTCAGAGAAATGTTTATGGGTCTAAATGAAGGGCTTCAGTCTGTTTATTGAACATTCACTTTGCAGCCCATTTGGCTGTTTTTTTGATCGCAGCATCTCATCTGTGTTGTGGGAGGTTTGGACATATACAGTAAATGGAAGAGTCGATTGGACAATGTAGTAAAGCCAACCGGTAAATGAAGGAAGAGAATTATGTAGTGGGGCATTTCTATCTTAACCATTTAAACCTACGGTTTAAAAAACTGCTTATGTCTATATAAAATTACATTTTTGGTTTAAGAATTATTCAAACCACAAGTCTTTATTTGATCTCTTGTTATAGCCATGATATTGATAAACCACGAGTGAGAACTTTTAAAGGTGCAGTTCACTCAAAAATCTATTTTAGTTGGTTGGTAGATCTTATAAGGAAAAGAGGTGCTTTGAAAGCAACAAGGTGGGTGCGATTTAGGAAAAGGCAGATATTTCTAGAGCTGATATCTTTAAACCTGGCAAATTTGCATTAAAACGATCTAAACTTGGAAAAAAACAGAACCAGAGGAAGTGTGTTGGGGGGGTGAATTGTTCCTTTTTGACCCCAGAAAAGTGACCGTCTGCATTTTGCACAGTTTATTTTAACATCAGCTGAAATGTTGCTCAAACATCAGGACTCAATGTTAAATATGTATAAAGTATAGAATCAGCGAGTATTTATCACCACTGAAGAACTGAGCTGATCTGTCTCCTCAGGCCAGTGTGGGCGTGGCCTGATGAACAGCGAAAAGCATCATAAACAACATCAAAAAGTGTTTGTTCACGTTTTGAATGTATCGGTAGTATATCTTGACTGTTTTACAAAAGCATGTGTTCATTTCAAACAAGTGAAGAACTCGTGAAGAAAAATAAAATGTGAAACAAAGCAAACAGCTTTGGCAGAAAACTGTATACTCACACTGGATGCAGTCAGTCATAATAAGAAGCTGATTGAGAAGATACACGTCAACCGTTTTAGCTAAACGTGCTGCAGCTGCACAGCGAAAACGTCAAAGAAACTAACACCTGCAGGTCCGTTTAGTTTTGATCTCAGAACGTGTGTAAAATAATCATCATGAGCCCTCGTATTATGAAAAAACTTACATCGTGTCAGCTCCTGTTTTCACACGAGCGCTGTGTTTTATTCAGTTGTAAATCTTCCTCTGAGTGGAGATGCTCGGGGCTCGTATCGGCAGTGTGATATAGTGAGCTCGCCCGTGGCTGGAAGCCATCGCAGCGCTGATGCTGAAGGGCATTTTCTTTAATCAGAGCCAGTGGTGCATTGAGTGAACAGGCTTTGACTGCTCTCAGATAACTGAGATAGTGTTCTTAATGCTGCCTTCGGGCCCTTTAACACCCACTCTCATTCTTGCCTGGGTTTCAGCAGAAGTGCCTAGCTGCCATTCTGTCTACTTACGGCAAGACGGCTATCTGGCTCACACTAACAGGACTGAAGGTACCAACGATGTTACGTGTGGATGTTGTGGTGGTGCACGTATGGGTTTTTGCTTCATGTGATATCAAACTATCTGTTTTTTTCCGATCTTGTTTTCCAGGTTGTATGTTTGACAAAGTGGCGAGGCACTTCTACGACGATACCTGCGTGGTGCCTGAAAAGGTGGAAGGTGAGTCCTGCAGTGACTCTTAAAATGAAAAGTATGCCACGTACCAACGATTCTGCCCATCATACAATAACCATTTTGCCCCGTTTTCTGTAGGCGACATCAAACAGGAGTCGGGCTTGTACCGTGAGGGCCCGTCGTACCAGCGCAGAGGCTCGCTGCAGCTCTGGCAGTTCCTGGTGGCTTTACTGGATGACCCGTCCAACTCCCACTTCATTGCCTGGACCGGCCGTGGCATGGAGTTTAAACTCATTGAGCCAGAAGAGGTAAGAGACAAACAAAAGGCACTGTCACAAAAAATCGTATTTTTCTATATTGTAATCCTCCTTTAAAAAATCAGTTTTTATTTTTCATGGCTTTTATACTTAAGCTTTTTGGACAGTCTTAGGTAAATGTTGCATTGTATTTCACTACATATATTGTTCAATAAAATCTTTAAGAGGTTTACCTACTTTCAGCTACTCAGAAGTAAATATTTGCTGCTTTGGACCGTTTTATGTAATTACAACTTAAATATATTTGGTTCGTAGACTTTTGGTTAAAAAAATGAAGTGATTAAGCAGTGAAAGAAGGTAAGAAGGTAAGGTAAATCACTGCAAAACCAAATGAGATCAGAGGTCAACGTGTGAATCAGTAATATTTTCTGCTCTCAAAATGCAGTAGACTTCTTTAAAAAATAGTTCTTACCGATCAGACGACAAAGAGAGGAATCATTCTAACTGACAGGGAGCAAAAACGTCTTACATTTAAAAAAAAATATATTATTGCTTTTCTTTAACACACAGGTTGGGGTCAGGGTTTGGAGTTAGGATTGGGATCATCACAGACGATGACTTGGACCTCAGAGGGTTATATATTCTACAGTCCACACTAAAGCCAACCAAGTGACCCTGATGACCTGCTCCTGTTAAATATTTCACAGGACATATTCCTAAAAATATAACCCATGTTGGCGGTTGGGCCTTTTGAAATGGAAACAGAGGCAGGGTTTGTGTATGGCCACATCACACACAGTGGGGCTCAGTCACTGCTGGAGGATGAAGGAGGATGCAGGGTGCAGGCAGGGGGTGAAAGTGTAGAATGGAGGAGATAGATGAGTACCGGGCAGTGGTCCACGCAGCCCGATGGTGTCTAGAAGCACGAGCCAGCTGCACCTAACAGGGGGCCCCATTCATGCCATCAGGTGACCAAACGCATTTGCTTTGAGGCGCCGCAGACAAACGTTAGGTAGCGGTTTCTGCATTTGCAGCATGTCAGCGGTTGTGGGGACAAGAAAAAATGTGAAAAAGAAAAAACAGAAAAAACACAGTTGCATTGATCGGGGAAGGTATTATAGGAGATAAACTGTGAGAAACAAACAAAAATGAAAGTAAAAAGCAGAGTTTAAAAAAAGCGAGCAGCTAAGAGAATGCCGTGGGGCTGTGGGTTTGGACCGTGAGGCCGGGTGGCGGGTGGTCTGGTAGACAGGTGCTGTAACATCTGCTGCCTCCTCCGCTGGGTGTGTGACAAGCTCCTAATGAACACATCCCTGGTCAGGTCTGCACAAGCTGGACGCGCTCTAATTACTGTTATTAGGAAAATATGGATCGCTAAGTTTGTTTAACATTTTAGCTGCTGCAGCGTTCCTGTCTGGAAATCAGGGCAACCGTGCTCGTTTGTGTTAGATAAGTTTGCTTTCTGATAATGCTCTGTTTACTGACTGTCTTTATTGTCTTCATGTTCGTGTGTGTGATAAAGGTGGCACGTCGGTGGGGGATACAGAAGAACCGGCCAGCAATGAATTACGACAAACTCAGCAGATCATTGCGCTACTACTACGAGAAGGGAATCATGCAGAAGGTAAAAAAAAAATACAAAAGTTGTATCAACCAGTTATAGTTCATCTGTTACACTGAAAGGGATCCAAAACTGTTCACCTTTTTTCTAAAAGATTTTTTTGATGTAAACAAAGTATGAAAACAACTCATTTGGTTGCTATACCTGGCCTGTGTTAAAGGTGCTCCCATTCCCCCAGGTGCCTTATATAAGGAAAAGAGTGTCTCAAAAATGGTGAAACAGCTAAAAAAGTTCATTTACACTTTATAGCTGAGAAATTGTAATTGTAAAGCTTTTTTCTGTATTGTGTGCAAAAATCAGTTTTTGCCAGGCTTGCGGCTCGTGTCCGCTTTACTCTTAAAGTGAAACCCAGATATGTATGTTAATTTATCAAGTTATTCTTTGAATTAATCTTCATTATAGTGCATGTAGTATTTATGTAGTATATGTAGTAATGCCAAAAACAGATGTTTATAAACAGCAAACAAATGAGTAATAAATACATATATTTCTTCTTCTTTGCAAGCTACATATTCATTATATAAGGGAAAGTAATCAGTTACATCATCACCATCAAACATCACTGTTTGATGAACCAGCTACGTCAAAGTGTCCCTGCAGTAAAACAATTGTTCAGCAAAATATTTACAAAAACAATAGATGTGCAAATAATGACCATTCTTTTTGAGATCAGCTACCACGCATGTATAATTTGTAAGGATTTGAGTGTTATACAAATAATTTCCATAAGCTGTATAGATGTTGATTAACTTGGTACTGGACTAAGTTTCTTTCAGATCAATTAGTGCGTTTAGAGTTAGGACCTACACTGCATATGCTGTGATCATTGTCATAAGATTATTTATGCAAAAATACTTCAGATCAAGAGTAATGATTTTTTTTTTAACAGAATACTGGATAAACACACTTTTCTGTCAGGTTTTTTGTTTCCTGAGGTATTAGTTTGACAGTTAGAAGCATCTCCAGAAAGCATTCATTAATAGGCCGGTCAGAAGAGGTTGAGCACTTTTAGGTGGAATTATACTTTGCTGGTTGGAGGTCAAGAACTGCTGGCCAAGTTTAAATAAAATAAGGAAGAAACAGCAAAGAAAACATAAATCTGCTCCTGAGATCACTTTTACCTCTGAGAAGCGATGAACAGTTTATAGCTCCTTTATTTTCTACCAAATCCACGTGTGACATAAGACGTTTAAAAAAGCAATCAGTGTCTCAAAGATAATTTTAAAAAACTTAGTAAAACCACTCTGTGTAATTTATTCTGGTGTTTTAAAATAACTCTTTTAATGGATAAGCTGTTTTCGCTTAGGTTGGGGATAGTTCATTTGTTTGAAGTGGGTTTGTATAAAACACTGATCCACAAAAAACAAAACAAAAAAAACAAACAATACATGGTGGTTAGGATGCCCCAAAGCAACAAAGGGGACCAGCACAGAAGCTAAAGCCACGTGCTGCTGTGCTCTAGATCAGGAGCACGAAGCATTTTAGTCACCTAAAAGTAGTTTTTGTGCACTTTTTTAAATATTTGACTATTTAACGATTGGAGAATTGTCAAGTCATTGTATCCACATCAAAGCCAGCAGATACTATTTACGAGTTACTGGACTATTGTTGTCTCGTTTGGTTGGTTGGTATGTGTTAATGTGTGATGCTAGTGTTTTAATGGCTTAATTTAGATCAGATTCGATGTGTGAAAACGCAAAAGTCACACGGCATTAGAACGGCCATTTTTTATTTTTATTGTGAGTGGGGGCGGGGCTCCATGAGTCAGAGAGTATAATGAGAGAGCAAATACTGCAAATTTTAATGAAGCTTTTTGTAAACAAACATCAAATGATATGGATACAAATGCTATTAACTAATCCTGTATCTTGTTTGAAAACACTTAAAGCTCAAAGCACCTCTTCTTTAGTGCAGTGTGGCCAAGGCCAAAGCAGAATTGTTAATGACATTTGGAGATCAGCTTTAAAAGTTTAAAAAATGTTTTTTTATTATTTTTTTTAAAGATATTTAATCTTTTTTTTCCATCTGGTGGATTAAAGTGAAAGATTACACTCAGTCACTGTAGAATATGCTGTGGAAAAATGGTTTAAAAACAAGACCTCTCCGTCTTTCTCCAGGTGGCCGGCGAGAGATATGTCTACAAGTTCGTGTGTGACCCCGAGGCCTTGTTCTCCATGGCGTTTCCTGACAATCAGCGGCCGGTGCTGAAAACTGACATGGAGCGGCAGATCAACGAGGAGGACACGGTGCCGCTGTCGCACTTTGACGAAAACATGGCATACGTACAGGAGGGACCCTACTGCCAGCCGCACCCCTACAGCGAGGGCTACGTTTATTAACGTCAGCCCTACAAAACCCACACCTCCACCCTACCCTCCTCCCACCTGCCTCCATCCGTACACATGAGACTGTCGTGTCCTCTAACTCGCAGCCGCTCGGGGAATTAGACTGAACACACACATGCAGCGGCGCTTCCCTTCCCCTCTGTCTCAAACACGTACACGTCCTTTTGCTCTTGTCTTTCTGACCGCACAGCAAGATGGAGAGTGCACTTTATGGACCGGAATGGCACGATGTTAGCCTGCCGGGGGCTAGCTATGTGATTGGCTTTTTACTCATTTATGTTTGTACATTAATGTGGGAATCATTCTGTTTGTTTGGTTGTTTTTTGAAGTCCTTATGATTTTGAGCATGTGCCGCCCTAACGAGACTGGACTAATTTACGGTCACTTTGATCTCCTGCTAAAGAAACCGTCTCATCCACACTCACAAAAGATGGCCATTTGTTTGACTGTCTTTCTTTTTGTCTTCATCCTGTACTGGAAACGTGTTAACGATACTTTTATGGTGAAGTGACATGATTATAGACTTGAAAAAGTAATGTGATTATAAAAGAGACATTTAGCTATCAGTGAGAACTGCCTCGCCACCGGTCTGAACACCGCACCTCTGTCCGTCAATGCCCGTCGTCCAATCAGACTGTAGATTTCATCATGTAGGTGTTGTAATGACATAAACTCCACTGGATCCTCAGCAGCTCAACAACCTTGTGGGTCAGTAAAGATGAGACTTTCACTTACAAGGACGCACTCCGGGAAAAAAAAATGTCTGGATGACAAAAAAAATACTTTCTCTGCGTCACACGTGAATGGCCTGTGTTTAGGATCGAAGACAAAGCTACAGGCTGCTGTAAAATAAGTCATTCACTGTAAACAGCAGTGTAATGCGTCAGAGCAGGAGTCACTCATTCGTCCTTCAGGTGTTCAGTTTTTCAATGGATAACAGGTGAAAAGTGTATGTACAGTCGAAGTGGTTACAGCAGCCAGTCAGTTCATATTCAGGATAATGTTTGCATCCCCAGCTAAAAAACAAAAAACATCTGATTTCATTGGCACAGACAATAAAAAGGAAAAAAAAAGATATAAAATCGAATTTCTCCCTTGAATTGTTTTCGGTTTTGTTCCAGGTGAACGAGAGGTGTATATTTTGCTTAAAACCTGTTGCTTTGCCATTAATAGGTTGCTTTTTGGTTAAAAAAAAAAAAAAAACAACGTAAAAGAAATATTTAGAGTTTTATAATGTGATGAATAAAAATCATGGTATATTAAATTGTTCCATTGTATAATCAGGTAAATGCACATTTTGTTGCTGCTTCAAATTGTAAGTGTATTTTCTAGTCTCGAGAAAATGACAACAGGGGGGAAAAAAGAAAAAAAAAACAGTGCAGCAGCTATGGCCTGCTATTCTGGATTTCTCTTTATTTTTTGTCTCTTTTTTTTCCGTCAATTTCAGCATTAAAAAAATTACTCTGAATTTTGTTCTCAAGATTCACGTGTGTGGGATGGGATTGGCAATAGGAAAAATTCTGTAATAAAATAGTTCTGAAAAACAAAGTGATGAGCACTTCTCAAATGTTTTAATTGATCATAATATAAAGAAAAGTTTAAGAGCTTCAGTGTTTCTTCTCTTGGCAGTTTTATGTATTCCTTACATATGATAAATCTTTTTTTTTCAATCAAGCTGAATATTTATCATGTCTGTCCCGACAAGGTCATAAATTTACAAAGTGGAAGTGGGAAAAGAAAACACCATAGCAGGTGTGTGTGTGTATGTGTGTGTAGACTAGCAGATTATAGACTCTAGTCAATTTCCAAGTTGGAAAGAAAACTCCCAATCACAAAGCATTTAACCAAAGTGACACCTGAGGAAAAATCAATGGCTAATTTAAGACCTCGCTTTTTCATGTAGGTGAATTGTTTCTGTCCTTTTGTGTCTGGTGCTGGCAGTAATGAAAAAAAAAAACAGCAACAAAAAAAGCAGCAACACTCCCTTAAAGTTATCATTTCCTTTTGTAAGGTGTCACTATTGCTAAAAATCAATGACTAATTTAAGGAAGCATTGTTTAATTGGTTCCACTGATTTGAAAAATGAAAACGGATGTGTAAGTAATGAAAAAACACCACTTGCCTTAATTTGTCAGAGCAGGTTACAAGCCGAGCCTATTACAGTCCCCACGCTTAGGTTTTTCTTTTTTATTGATTGTCTGTAGGGAAGGGAATTGCCCTTAACTTTAAACACCTGATTGCTTCCCCGAGGATATTTAACAACATCTAATCCGACATATACAAAAGTAAAAACAGCAGTGCGGCTTTTAATATGATGAATGACGCTTCTATTTTGGGTTTTCCTCTTAAAATGGCACTAAACTGGAGTAAAGAGTGCTTGTTCAGTATTGAAAGAGTAGGTCAATGAGGTGAAGACGGGGCTACCTTTTTAGATAATTAGTTATATCCTGTGTATTTACTGTCTGAGCACTATAATCAAATGTAAATATTTTTATCAAAAATATTTCAGCACCACACTTCTGTTCTTAAGAAGAAAATGCACATAAGAAAATATAATCCAACATTTAATTTAAGCAGATTATTGGAACATGTAGACATTATCATTGGTGGTGGAGGAAAGAAATTAAGTGCATTTATTCAAGTATAATTCTTTGTACTTTGTATTTGTACTTTTTTTTAGCTCTTTACCTTCTACATGTATTTACAGTCCTATCTATATTTAAAGATAACAGTTCCAAGTTGTTTATGCCTTATAGATGTAAAACACTATATGCTATACAGTGGTTTACAGTAACATATAAAACCCAGCAGTTTATGTGCAGGCCTGCTACTTTAACAGCAGGACTTTAACTGAGTGCATTTCACTAATTCAAAGATGGGTTTAAAGTATCTTGACATTCTTTCACTTAAAGGATTTCCAAGAGGTAAGATTCCTTCTGTAAAGTGCCGGACTACATAGGCGGACTATCCCTGAGCAGCTCTGTGCAAGGAGAACCAGTTTTTGCGTCAGAGGCTGTATGTGGTTTGACTGTTCAAATGAACTTCACGGTTACAGACCGAACACAAATGACTGTGGTTTATTCAAAGTCCCATCATTGAAATCCAATGCAAACACTTTGGTGCTTTAAATATGTGGTGAGTTTTCCATGTGAGCGGTGAGCTGCTGGTGGGACAACAGCACTGCAGCATTTTCCACCTGTATGTCGTGAATAGTGTGAAGGTCACTTGCAGGATTAGTTGTCTTACACCTTTTAAAGGCATTCTGTCGCCGAGGCTGAAAATCGCCATGCAAATCCTGTTATCTGGCCCCAACTCAGGGAATCAGGGCCTCAGCTATCAACATATTTACCATTTATGGACATATGCTTTACATCCTGTGCCACCAGCCAAATCCTCCCCTCCTCTGCTGCACTACCGGCTAATATTCTGTGTATCTGAACTGTGAATTGTGGTCCTCCCCCACTGTAACAAACAGATGGCCGCTCGATCTTGAGTCATCACAAACCCATTACCAGAGTGACTTGTCCTCAGCCAGGCTGCCTTGATTCGTGCCCGATGGCTCTCGCCAGTGTTTGCTCAGGCTCTTAAGTCATCCTCAGGCTTCACAGCGCACTGTGTTTGCTCAGGTTAAATGGCTTGTGCTGCCCCTGGAGTCTCCTGATTGGCTGTGACACTGCAGTGTTTGACAAGTGAAATGACACCGAGTGGCCCCCGTCGCAGCAAATGTGTTTGGCTGTTTGAAACAAGTTGGCTTTTAATACAGCGTGTTTACACACCAAAAAGCCCTAAGTGTGTTTCTATCTGTGTTGCCAGGGTCTATCAGTGGCCAGACCAGTGAGCATAAATCATTCAGAGGTAATTCAGAGGAACAACAGAGGCTCTAAGAGGAAAAAGCAGGGAAATTATAAAGCCTCTATAATGGAGGCCCCTATTACAGCTGCTGGTCCAGTTTAAGACGGCCTTATAAATGGTTTTATTATCTAGGAGGCTCTATTTTGGCTGTTCAGAATCACCATTTCTGAGTATAATTCTGAGCAGTAATCAAAAAGTTTTTGAAACACCTTCATTTTCTTCAGAGGTCGTGATTCCTAAATTCAAAGTACAGTCAACTCTTTACTCTTGCATTTCTTTTTTTTTAATCAATTAGAGAGCACTCTGCAGTGTGCTGCAGGACACAAACACACACACACACAAACCTGGGTCATAATTTCTTTCAGTCACCGGGGCCGGCGTGCGGATCAAAGGTCTTGGAGAAGCTGCTGACTGCTGAAACAAGCGTGGTTGTTGTCTAATTTAACAAGGATCCTGTGTTTTTGGGAGGTTTCAGGCAACACCACAGGTCCCTCACTCATTACGCTTTTTTCTCTCTTGTTGATCGTATTCCTGCTTCGAAACAGATGAAACACAAAAGCTAACTCCCCACCCCTTCCACCCCCCAACACAAAGACTGTGACAGTAATAAATAGCCTGTGTGATCCAGGTTTAGAAAGCTGTGAAATTGGATATTGAGATGCTCTCCGGAGCTGCGGGTCAGGAGTAGTTTCAGACTAGACTGTGGGAATCGTCTAATCCGATCACCCGGAATGTAAGACGGGCTAATCGCCTAACAGGCCGGGCCTCTTGTGCCCACGGGGCATTGGTGGTGGGGAATTGATGCCTTTCTCTTTTTAAAATGGGATTTATCAACTCTTTAGTTTCACTGAGAATCATAGAAACACTTTTAAATCTTTTCTTTACCAGAATGTTGGCATATTTCAGGAGTAATTAACTGTTACTGTGCAACGGAGTACATTCTGTTCATGTTTTACAGTAGCGAAAACACTCCAAAAAAGGATTTTTTTTACTTAGTCATTTTCTTGAGTCCATGAAAAGCTTTTCTTCCATTTAAAAAGCTCCTCATAAATTCCATTCAAGAAATGATAATGCTGTAAACAAAATAAGTGAAACTACTTTGGTATAACGAAACAGATCCTTAAACCTAAACTAAATACCATTCTGTCAGTTGTAAAAGTTAGCAAAAACTCACAGTAGACCATTATCAGTACCCATTGAATAGAACATACTGCTCTACAGTCAATGTGTTTGTGCAAAAAAAATCATTCCATCCAAGTGAAGTAGCCACATGTTATGTTCTCATTTCGGAGACTCTATGAAGACACCAGCGTTTGTGCAAACAGCTTTGATCAGAGTCTGATGAAACCTAATGAAAGCTGTTTGCTGTAATGTTGGTGTCTTAATAAACATGAGAACACAGCGTGTGGCTACTTCATCTCAATGAAAAACTGGATATTGGACACTCCTGTTTTTCACTGTCGATGTAATAAAGAGTTGTTTTTCTGACTAACCTGACAAAATGTTCATATTTGCTCATATCTTCAAATTATACTTTTTTTCTATCACTTTCAGGATAGCATATGTGCATGCACCTTTCACAGTACTCTGTGCAAGAATATATATATATATATATATATACATATATACATATATTCAATGCACATGTGGTGTATCAAATGCTTTGTAACTGAGAAAAACTCGAGTTTTATTCCTGGAAACTTATTTTGTCATTAAAAAGTTAAGCATATTTAGTGTATTTCATGACAGCCTGTTAGAGAGGCTAGTACTATCTCATTAGGGTATTGTGGTTTTAAGCCTCACAGAAAGACATCCCTCAAGACTTTTTTTTTTTCAGGTAGTATGCAAACATGTAAAATATCAGCTATCTGTGAGTTAGTTCTAAAAATATCAGCACTAGCAGCTTCCTCCAAAACCCTCGAATTGAGCCCTAACACCGTCTCTGCCTCTCTGGCCTGGCACGCCACCCGTCTCTTCACCTTCCACAATGTCGTTTGATCTCCGCGACGCTGTCAACGCCACAGATCAACCTCACGACAGACCTTGTAGCCACAGCCACCCAGCGAGGTGGCCAGCCATCTGTCACAGGGGCCTGGAGACCTTGGGCTGCAAAGGGTCCAACCCCCTCCCATGCACCCCACACCCCCTCCCAGGGCCCATTAGCTCTCCCTAATGCAGCCAGTGTAGGCCCTAACAGGCACAAAATGGACTGCTACTCATCCTCCTTAATTCCCAAATGAGTTCTCTTTAGCATATACATAATTCATTTCTTGAAGTCACTTACGGGCGTCTTTCACCCATTTAGCAAATACTCATGTCGGGTTTATCTTTTTTAGTTTAACAGTTTTCAGGTGCGTAAATCTGATCACAGCTGCTATAAAGAGAGATTAATCTTGGTGGGAAAAATAATCTGAGTGTGAAATACACAAGCAAAAGAGAGGTTGGATTTCAGAGTCATGCAATGAGATTTAAATAGCAAGCAAGGAGCCTGGAAAAGTATACTAATGTAGTCAGATGAAGATAGATAATACGGGGTAAATTTAGACCACCTCACATTCATAATACCTAATGCCCTTTAAATAGGCTTAAGAGGAGGACTAGAAATAGGCTGTGTTAATTAATTATTTTCACTAGATTCCTTCTTCTTCTTCTTGCTTTCCTTTCCACAGGCGTGTTAATTCTTTCTTGGCGAATATGTGGCAGCCATGTCAAATCTACTAAATAATGCACTTGTTACGATACACC